GAGCTTTTTCTAGAAAAAAAGCCCTGAGGCAAATTAAAAGAGAACCTTAACATTCCTTAACAACTGCAAGTATTTCCATAATGAGGGACAATGGTTAGGAGATGGATCTGTTCAACTAGGAGTTTGGATAAGGTTACCCCTCCCAAGAGGAGGAGAGGAGCAGGCATGTCTGTGTACATGAAGAAATAACCGTTATTAGTGGGGGACAGAGAGACAGAGGAGCAGACAGCCATGAATTAGATTACGGCAGTGTGAGGGTCCATAACCTCTCCGTTTGGAAATCTAAAGTGCCCCTTTGCCTCCCCTGGGAATCTGGAGTGCCTCTTTGCCTTCTACGTGTGTAAGCAAAGCATTACAGAAACACCAGAAGATTCCAAAGGGAACTCACTTGGGATGTGTTGCCCCCAGAGCCCACCCAAGAGAGCGGGGAGCACAGAACAGCAGGTCCCATTCTCTAAGCATCCTCCTCCAAGTGGTCCCGCACATAACTAAACTTCATGTAGCAGCCTGATGAACTCTGACTCCATATGGAAAATGTGCCAGTTCACAAGTACACAATTAGGGCTTAGCAAAGGATATAAAGTCCATTGCATATGAAATAAGCCCATCACTGTGTTCGCTTAAAAAAAAACCCTCCTGTTTCATAAATATCTGTGTGAATACCCCTTGCACACCCTGTCTGCTCAAGAGCAAGTGCGGTGTTGGATTTAATTAGACTAGGTTCTAGAAGACCTAGATTCAAATCCCCACCCTACTATGACACTTGCTGGCTGACCTTGGGTCAGTCACATGACACTGTCAGCCCAAGCTACCTCTCTGGGTTATTGATGGATAAAATGAGGAATGCTGCCCTGAGTTCCTTGGAGGAAATGTGGTATAAAATATACTAGCTAAGAAAATCTTGTCAATCCTATTGCCCAATATATTCATTGTTTAGCACTACTATTTAAGATGATTACAAGTCCCCTCCTTCTAGCACCTGTACGTTCAGAGTAATGGAGTAATGGTTTCCTCACATTTTGGCTTAGTTATTTATCTGCAGAATAAACTAGAATATAGGATGAGTGTGTATAAACAGCTGGACACAACCTACAGCTATTCCTGGGATGTACCACTTCAGACTTTAGGGAATAGACCGCATATTTGAATGTTCATTTCTGGGGGGGGAGGATCCTTGAATTAGGCAGGGGGTATGCAACCCTGCATTTCCCACTTGTACTCTGAAGCAACACTGCCTAGAAACAGTTATATCATGTGGTTTTCTTCTTTTGAAGACTAATCAGCATTGGTTGAGTCTAGAGAAGCCTATTTAATAGATGCACCTACAATAGGCAGTGTGGTGTAATGGACAGATTGTTGGATTTGGACTGCAGAGACCGGAGTTCAGATCCCTAAGCACTCATGGACTCATTTGGTAACCTTTGGTTTCTCAATATAATTTACATCACATGCCTTTGTGTGATGATAAAACATATATGTTGTCTCCTCTTGTACCTGCATGACCTCTTCCTGACCTCCTTGGAGTTAAGGTAGGATACAGATGTGCAGGGCTTTTTTTCTGGGGGGACGTGCAAAACAGAGTTCAGGAACCTCTTTGACAAAATTCTTTTTCAAATGTTTAAAAGTTTGGTGAGTTTTCAGTATACAAATTGAAAACTTCATTTCCCTCTTGAGAGTTCTGACACCTCTCCCCACCCACCCACCAAAAGCCCTGCAGATTTGGAATTCCATAAAATAAGGTCACATGCTTTATGGAAACCAATTAGGTCCCAACTCTTGCCTTGAATGGGGCCTCCTTGCCCCCATCCTTTCAGTTGAAATGATTCTGTATGTTCAGTCAATCCCAGAAACAGGGGTCATTTTGTAGAAAAAGGGGTGCAGGAGCTCATTAGCATAACTTATTTGCATATGCCACACCCCTTGACATCACCGGAGGTGTGTCAGAAGGCAACACTCACTGCTCAGGCTCCACTGGACTGTTTTGGATTGCTAGCTATGGGGGGGGGGGGACGTGCAGATCTGTCCTCGCAGAGGAAGGAAAGCTTGTACCTGAATAAAACTTGGTCTTAAAGGTGCCACTGGACTGTTTTGGGCCAGGGGGCTCTGCAACTTACCTGGCTGCTTCTTGCTCTGACTGAGGGCTGCTGGGAGCAGGGGGTGGGGCTTGTTGCATGTGCCCGCCCCCTGGGCTCTTTACTGCCAGAGCTCCGCTCCTGTGCGCTCCTGCAGGAAATGACCCCTGCCCAGAAACCTTCAATCTGAGTGGGATGAACATGTCAATAACAATAACAAAAGAGAAAAGAACATCAGACAGACTCACTGCACACTCGGTAGGGCTCTTCTCAGCACCAATGGAGAGGCATCCAGAGACAATGTACTGTTTGGGAGGAAGGAAACAGGTGAGTGGTTGACATTGTTACAGGTAATCTCCCTTCTCACCATCACAGGACCCACCTCAGGCAGTTTGTGGCAGAAATGAAGAAGAAGATTGTTCTCATCCTTGGTGATTTTCATTACTATTCACACACAAATATTGAGAGATACAGAGAGAGGCCATACTTCTTTACGCCTTACAGCAATTCTGCAATTCTGGTCACCACACCTTTAAAAGGATATTATAGCTTTGGAAAAAGTGCAGAAAAGGGCAACTCGAATGATAAAAGGGTTGGGACACTTTCCCTATGAGGAAAGGTTAAGGCACTTAGGGCTCTTTCGCTTGGAGAAACGACGACTGAGGGGTGATGTGATTGAGGTTTATAAGATTATGCATGGGAAAGAGCAGGTAGAGAAAGAGGTACTTTTCTCCCTTTCTCACAATACAAGAACTCATGGGCACTCGATGAAATGGCTGAGCAGTCGGGTTAGAACGGATAAGAGGAAGTACTTCTTCACCCAAAGAGTGATTAACATTTGGAATTCACTGCCACAGGAAGTGGTGGTGGCTACAAGCATGGACAGCTTCAAAAGGGAATTAGATAAGCATATGGAGCAGAGGTCCATCAGTGGCTGTTAGCCACAAGGTATAGATAGGGACTCTGGGGCAAGTGATGCTCTGTCATCTTGGTGCTTGGGGGGGTCAACAGTGAGAGGGCTTCTAATGTCCTGGCCCCACTGGTGGACCTCCTGATGGCACTGGTATTTCTGGCCACTGTGTGATACAGAGTGTTGGACTGGATGGGCCTTTGGCCTGATCCAACATTGGCATCTCTTATGTTCTTATGTTCTTAAGATATCCTGGCATCTGATCAGAAGATCAGCCTTTCTATGGGTAAGTAAACCCTGTGTTCTTATATTTTATTTCTTTTTAACATCCCAATCTTCTTCAGTCTTCAGGACTTCAAAATCAACACTAAGGATGTTTTCTGCATTTTCCCTTGATGGGAAGTAGCTATGAGGCAGAGGCTGGAGATGCAGAGTGGATGATAGTTGACACCTCTGTGAATCTGCCTCGGCTGGAGTGGCATGAAATCCTGGCACGTGATTGTTCAAGTGATGGATCTGAGCCATGGTACAGGTCTTGTGGCTCAGAGTCACAGAACAGCGCAGAGTGGCTGTTAGGGATGCAGCAAAACTGTTTTGTGAGTTTCAAAAAAAGATTCCAATTTTCAGCAACTATTAATGCATTGAGGACATGTTTGCAATGTTTCATTATTATTCTTCCAGATGCCATTTTCCCTTCTTCTTTGTCTCATAGTCCTGGGTCTCATTTACTCATAACCTGATTGGCTGTCATGGTTCATGTAATTTTGATCAATAGTTTCTCAAAACCTAATTCTTAGATATATAGCAAGACAGTGTGGTGTAGTGGTTAAGAACAGAGGACTCTGATCTGGAGAACTGGGTTTCATTCCCCCACATGGAGCCTGCTGGGTGACCTCAGGTCAGTCACAGTTCAGTGGCTATTAGCCACAAGGTATAGATAGGGACTCTGGGGCAAGTGATGCTCTGTCATCTTGGTGCTTGGGGGGGTCAACAGTGGGAGGGCTTCTAATGTCCTGGCCCCACTGGTGGACCTCCTGATGGCACTGGTATTTCTGGCCACTGTGTGACACAGAGTGTTGGACTGGATGGGCCTTTGGTCTGATCCAACATTGGCATCTCTTATGTTCTTAAGATATCCTGGCCTTTCTATGGGTAAGTAAACCCTGTGTTCTTATATTTTATTTCTTTTTAACATCCCAATCTTCTCCTTCAGTCTTCCGGACTTCAAAATCAACACTAAGGATGTTTTCTGCCTTTTCCCTTGATGGGAAGTAGCTATGAGGCAGAGGCTGGGGATGCAGAGTGGATGATAGTTGACACCTCTGTGAATCTGCCTCGGCTGGAGCGGCATGAAATCCTGGCACGTGATTGTTCAAGTGATGGATCTGACCCATGGTACAGGTCCTGTGGCTCAGAGTCACAGAACAGCGCAGAGTGGCTGTTGATGTGGTTGTTAGGGATGCAGCAAAACTGTTTTGTGAGTTTCAAAAAAGAGTCCAATTTTCAGCAACGATTAATGCATTGAGGACATGTTTGCAATGTTTCATTATTATTCTTCCAGATGCCATTTTCCCTTCTTCTTTGTCTCATAGTCCTGGGTCTCATTTACTCATAACCTGATTGGATGTCATGGTTCATGTAATTTTGATCAGTGCTAACACAATCGTTTCTCAAAACCTAATTCTTAGATATATAGCGAGACAGCGTGGTGTAGTGGTTAAGAACAGAGGACTCTGATCTGGAGAACTGGGTTTCATTCCCCCACATGGAGCCTGCTGGGTGACCTCAGGTCAGTCACAGTTCTCTCAGAACTCTCTCAGCCACACCTAGCCTCCCAAGGTGTCAGCTGTGGGGAGAGAGGCAGGGAAGGGAAGGCGAGTGTAAGCTGCACTGAGACTTCTTAAGGTAGAGAAAAGCAGGATAGTCTTTCTTCCCACAACTGGATTTTTAAAAGGTGTGTAACAAATGAGGCCAAGGATTACGAGGGCAGAAATATACCAATACTCAGTGAGATGATTCCCCGCCCCCACAATACTTTATTTAGCTATGCTAATTAATTAGAAAATATTTGGCACAGCCCTACAAATGTGTATGAGGAAGGTGGCTGTGCAGACACAGCCTAAAGGAGCTTTCGCATGTGAAAATTAAATCACCTTTGAACCGTTGCCTTGTTATTATTATTTTTTTTGAAATTTATTTTCATTTTTCACTATAACAAAAGTTCATATCATATCACTTTCACTTTCAGTTACAACTTATAATATCCATTACGTCTTTCACATTTAACAACTTTTATATCATACTAGCAAAAATTCAGTTTTGATTTATCTTTTTCATCTTCAGTCAGTCATAAAATAATTTCCATCTGTCCCAAAAAAGTTCCTCTGGTTTATTTTGTAGTGTTGTATTTAGCTTATCCATTTCAGCTATTCCCATCACCATATTTTTAAGTTCTATTATAGATGGTATTCTTTTGGATTTCCAACGTCTTGCTATCAGGATTCTGGCTGCTGTTAGGATATATACAATTATCTGTGTGTGTGCTTTAATGTCTTCCGGTAACATATTTAGTAGCCAAATTTCTGGTTCTAGGGGGATATTTATTTTTGTAACGTCCAGGAGGATTTTTGCAATTTTTCTCCAAAATTTCTGGATTTTGTCACATCTCCACCATATGTGGAGGTATAACCGTTGCCTTATTATTTACATGAGTGCATGGTCATTGTTAATGGACAGGAAGCAGAAGAGAAGCATTTGTACTGCCACTGTGCACTCTGTCCAGTGAAGATTTCATATTCACATCACAAACCATTTTAAGCAAGATCTACTTGAAGCCTTGCCTGTGAAATTGTGAGGCAATACAGAAAACAACAATTTAAAAAATCCAATGAAAATCGGGCTGGGCAGTAAGACTGCAAGGGAGAACCGGCTAGAGAGTGGCAGTTGGCGAAATGGGGATGTGTCCATAGACAGCAACATGCAAATAAGGAAAAGAAGTTGATAAAACGGCTCAAAAAAGACAGTCACGGGTTGACAGTAGGCGTGTGCATAGGCACTGCACAATTCTATCCCACGCAGCAGTTACTATTTGCAATTACTCTAAGCCTAGTTTAGGAGGTCTTCAGTTTTGGAGTTGAGATGTTGTTTGCATGGTCTGTTACAGAAAATTTCTACATCACAATCCATATTCAGAACTCAGCTTTTCCTTTTTAAAAATGTAAACACTTGCATAAGGATGTAAAAAAAATTCCGCAGATGGGCTGTGCACAGTTTCATGTTGTCTCTTTTCCTGGCCATTGTCCCCACATTCACAAACCTCTCTACAAAGGAGCATTTGATTCTTTGTTTCTCTCTTTCAAATCCTATATTCTTGTAATTGCACCCATACAGGGTTCCCCCCCCCCCCTTACAGGCATCTTAGTGACAGCTTCAGACTGTTATTTTTAGCAGAAAACTCGGCTTCACAGACTTAAAATGGAACGCCCTCACAATCTCTCATCAAGGTTTTCTATTCCTCCTCTTTATCAAATGACATTAAATATGGGTGGGGTGCACATGAGTACAGTTCTGCACATTTAGAAAATTAATCAGGAATACCCTAAGCCCACAATTCAAGGAGAAGGAAGGATGCAGAAACAGGCAATTAGTAATGAAGCAGTGAGCGACAAAAGTGGAATAGAAATAAAAGGTAACTAGAGTACTTAGTATGGTATAGCTTCAAACATTAAAACAATTGTGTCCCGTCCCCCCCATTATAAAAGGCCTAACTAGACATCATGGGGGACACATGGCTGCCACCAACCCGCTTAGCTCTCACGCAACACCCCAGCAATGTTCAGCAAACGAAAATATGACACAACATCATTCTGAGGGCTCTTTTTGTAGCAGGAACTCCTTTGCATATTAGGTGACAGTCCAGGGGTCATTTTGTAGAAAAAGAGGTGCAGGAGCTCATTAGCGTAACTCATTAGCATAACTCATTAGCATATTCCACACACCCTGACATCACCGGAATTTGAATATGCCACACCCCCTGACATCACCGGAAGTGTGTCAGAAGGCAACACCCACTGTTCAGGCTGCACTGGACTGTTTTAGATTGCTAGGTGTGGGGGGGGGGAAATGTGCAGATCTGTCCTCACAGAGGAGGGAGAGCTTGTACCTGAATAAAACTTGGTCTTAAAGGTGCCTCTGGACTGTTTTGGACCAGGGGGGCGGGCTCTGCAGCTTACCTGGCTGCTTCTTGCTCTGACTGAGGGCTGCTGGGAGCAGGGGGTGGGGCTTGTTGCCTGTGCCCACCCCCTGGGCTCTTTACTGCCGGAGCTCCACTCCTGTGCGCTCCTGCAGGAAATGACCCCTGGGCGACACACCCCTAATGTAGCCAATCCTCCAAGA